GAGAGTATGCCAGCAAAATCAACTGTACCGCTGTTTAAGCCTGTAGTGACATTGGCCCATTCCTATTTCCCTCTTTGTTCTCACCATGTAAGTCTTCCTACAGCGTTTCGACCGGACAAACTGCAACTCACATCACTCCGTCCCAAAACATCAAACGAACTATTAACTCGCCGTGGATAATTCCTTAACACGAGCATAATCCTACTGCTTGCGCATTTCAGAGGCTATTTCCACCGCACAAAAGTCACCTTTAGCACTTTCTACCACGGACAATGTAATACTTCTGTTCCCACTTTCCCACTTATTTATGCTAGATTAAGGTGTCTCATGTGAAATGCCACGCCCATTCCGTAAACATTAGAAGTAAAAACGCAGTTTTCAGTTAATGTTCAATTCTGTTCATTTTTATTAAGGTAAAGGTAGACGGACGCTTTTGAACTCATTATTGGTTTTAGATTGTCTACGAAAAAGAACCAATAAATGGAAAGTCGAAAAAGATTGTTTACATAATTGTATGCGATAGAAGTCAGATGAATACTGTTTGTCATTGCGGGGTAGCCGTAACTTACCAGCCTCAGTTGGCACCGGTAGGCCTGCCTTCATGAGCCGAGAAGTCCTACTCACCGAAACATGGCATTACGAATATTTTATAGTTTAGCAACCTCGACAGAACCCCATCCGCTAGATTAATTAAGGATGACCTAGGGCTGCCGGGATGGGAGGCGGCAACGGCGACCTCTCTGCGATGAGGAGAAAACCAACAGGAGGCCATGATGACTGCTGTGAACGATGGGCAAACCGTACCGCGAAGTAGGTCAGCTCGGGGAATGTGTCTGGAGTTCACTCACCGGATTCTTCACAAAGAAATGACACTGGGGAGGCGTTAATGGCCACGATCAGCCTGCACTGTCCGGCGGCATGCCGACGGCCTGCATTCTGCCCGAACAATGTGGCACAGGAAATTATATAACGCTACCTAAGCGACATAAGTAGGTACTATGTTGGAATAAAGTGTCGGTGGCGCGCTTGGGTAATGGGCGTGTCCAAACAAGGCCTGCGTGCGCGTCTCTTCTTAAGGGTATTACGGACGCGAATGACTAGATCTCGCGAGTCCGCTTAGTGTGTTGACTGGGTGCTTATGGAGTTTGTAGGCGCCCGTGATTAACTTACCGCAAAGCTCAATGTGTGCGATTTCCACCTGTTAGAAAGCTCCGACCACGCTATTCCCAGTGTGGCACGTGTGACGGAGGCTAAGGATGCATGCATGCTCGAGGCACACATTTCCCAGATCTGTAAATATATGAGTGAATGGTGGTCTGCCATGGCGACGTTCATCGGCCCTCATAACCTCGTGAACCGAAAAAAGACCTGATCATAGGGCCGAACGACGAGACAGGCCCTACGAAACTCGTTTATATGGCAGCCTCACATACATTTCAAAGGCTGAGCGAGTAGCACAGAGAACAGGGACGGTAAAGCTCCGAACTCGGACAACTAACACCAAAAGTCTGATCCCACGCACACGAGCTGGTCGACCTGTTCACTGACTGAGCCAATTTATTACGGATAGCGCATCCACACTGTCATTTTGTCCGGCATATGACGGCGTCTGTGGCACATAGTTATATCTAAAAATGTTGCCTTCGGCTGACAGGCCACGCTTTCATGCTTCGGGTGGCGCGATTTCATTTATACCTTGAATTCAACGATGAGGATGCGGCTGCAGACACAGATGTGTGCGCGCCCCTCAACTAGTGTAGAGCGTTTCATTAATTTGCGGTCATAACTTGCGTGCTTACAGCGTCTAATCTAGGTCAAATCCGGCCAGTTGAATTTAGCAGAGGATCAGTGTATAAAGTGGTTTGAATCTGAATTTCGGGAAAAAAAGCCTGCGCAAAGACAGCTACAGAACACCAGGCAGAGCCTTGAGTAATACATCAGAGCTTTCTTTCCCAGGTTATGCGTGTTCTTGCCCTTCCTACTTCTGGTGCTCTACAGCACATGATTAAAATGTTCGTGTCGGCCACAGACTAATAGGCATCAGAAGAGTCGAATTTGGGAAGGTTCCAGTATGCTCATCGCCTGCTGCGTGGCTACGTGTCAGGAGTAACGGCCAAGTCGAAAGTAACCTTTGTATTGGTAGTTTAATCGTGCACTGACCCTGCTGATACACATACATTCAATAATTACTGGCCTCAGTGTTTCCATTAGCTCGAAAATGTATTATGGACTGCATAAGAGGGAGTAGATATTGTAGCGGTCGACTATCAACAACGAGAAAACAGGTTAGATGAACAGAGATAAGTAAAACAAAATACAAGTAAGGGCGAACAGTTTTTATATTCACTGGACAATTCACTTTTAAAACCTTGTACGTTTGATTACCTGTTGGACCCGAAATGAATAAATCCTCAAAGACAAAACAAATGAGGTTTTTGATTATTATTATTATTATCATTGTTATCATTTGAATTTTTATTCTGCGGTAAGTTGAGACTTTACCTGCTCCCAGACCTAAAAACCACGCCTGCCTGATCATATTTGACAGACAGGCATTTCGACTCTGAAAAGCAGTTACTTTTTGAGAAAGTTATTTCCCGACTGAATTACGGAAATCGTTTTGACTAGACTGACTGTGCGCATTCTTTTAACTTAGAAAATCCATAAACCCTGGTTTTCCTAAATACACGACAGTCTGACTGCCGTTTTCAGGATGTCCAGTGTGCGCTCCACAGCAGGGTGGGAGCAGGGACAGTGACTTGCACACGAGTTAGTTTATAGTGATAGCAGACTTGCGCCGCATCCACAGCACTCTCTCCCCATCCTCCACCTGGGCCCGCTGTCAAGACAAAGTCAAGAGTATCGGAGGCAGTAAACGGCGCAGGTAGCTGATATAGCTTAAACCCACGCCAAGGCGCACCACCAAACCTCCACAACGTAAGACTGACCAGAATTTGGCATAACGGGAATAGTAGGCTGGCCCAAATCTCAGACGACGCGGCGTGAGTCTGTGCTTGGACATGCCGCTGCACCCCAAAGGCTGACATTTTTCTGGATACGCATTACAACTAACGCCTGTCGGACACGATCTAGCCCCCCTGTTGGTCCATCGCATGCACCGCGTGGTTCGTTTTAGGGGCATAAACCACATACACAGACGGCAGCTCGACCCTTGTCTACGATAATGCTCAACATATGCTCCAGAGAAGGGTGGGTCTGCCGGGCTGGAGAGTTGACGTGAGAGTTTCAATGGTTGACAACACGAAGATTTCCAAATCACCAGTCAGGAAAGACGTTTAGCGGGCCTAGTCAAACAATAACGCGATCCCACACTAAGACCAAGTCGAGAAAAGCCAGGCGAAACGACCACGCCAGAAAGAACCTAACCGTCAACACCGCCCAGTGAAGAACAAAGGCAGTGAATGAAAAGTCACTTTATGAAACCGAAACTCACATCATTTGGAGTATCCGCGTTGCCGTTATATAAAACCCAACTTAAACAAAGTGCATAAATGTGAGTTTGGGAAGTGCTGTCCAGACCGGTCAATCAACTAATGCTAACAGAGCTAAAGAGTTCGACTGCTTGGGCCACATACACACAACCTGACTCCCGTATGCTCACACCGGGATTTCACACATAAGGGAGCAGGCTGTTCGGATTTCTCATGTAGCGAGGATCCACATAGAGAATGGAGCCGGAGAGCACAATTCCTAGTTGCGTGAGAGGTGCCGGTGGTGTGGGACGTGGCAGGTGTTTGTGTGATCCATTTGTTGATGGGGGTGTGTCTTCATGTCTACAGTGACTTACCTGAGATTTTCATGGAAACACATGTGACCGAGCAGGCCCATGCGAGGACTGAATGTGCAACAGCAATGCGGGCAATTAGGGGGATGGCGTCTGTAATATGCTGGTGGTCACCGGTTCGCCAGTCTCTGTGCGAAGTATTCGTAAGCGACCGACCAGGCCGACTTGTGAGGAGAATGCACGGCGGTAGTTTGGGCAGGATAGGTTGGGAGATGCTTAGCCGTTTAGAGTTGTTATGCTGCTAGAGGTGGTGGGATAGTTGGTGGATGTGCAGAGTGTACTAGGTGTGTAGATGTTGCGGTGAATCCCGCTGTTGTTATAACGCACGTGAACGAATAGGTGCATGCGATGGCTGAGTGTGTGAGGTCCATGCGGACAATTGAGGTAATGTCGTCTGATGCATGTTGGTGTTGTAGGCACTGGTCCGCCAGCTACCGTGCGATGAATTTGCTAGTGCCCGACCAGACCGATATGTGAAGTGGATGTGCGGTAGCAGTGAGCAAGTCAGGTTGGGGGACGTTGGGTCGGTTATCGTTGTGATGCTGCCGGTGGGTGGGTCGCACTGGTCGAGGATGTATGACAATCCGCTCCCTTGGTCGCCACCGTTTTATTACGTTGCCCTTCTGTCAGTCTCACGACCCCCGTAGATTTGCTGTCGGGACTGCGTAAGGCTTGGCACTAGGCTCGAGGGAGCATGAGGCCAGTCAACGCTGTCCATTCGCTGGCTGGCTACAGGGCGACACAAAACAGACAGAGCGAAGATGCACACACGCGCTGGGGGCTACTAACCTCAACGGTGGACATGGGCACACACACACACCCCGAAAGACGGCTTGCAACAGCTGCTTGCTGAGCTTCCTGCACGCACTTTCACAACAGTAAAATTTGTCCAAACTAATCCGTCTTCCCTGACTTGTGATTTGGGAATCTTCGTGCCGTCAATCATCGGGACTCTGACGTCAGCTTCCCAATTCAACAGGGGAATCGACTAGGCCGGGGATGAGGAGGTTGGTGAATATACAAGTTATGTTTGAGATTGTCGGTATTGCAGTGATATTCGCTGTCGTAGACAAGCATGTGACGGAATAGACCCCAGTGGTGTATCAATGTGCATGGAAAGTGTGGACAAAGAAGGCGGATGCAGCGAGTGTATGTTGGGTTCCTAGCATCGGTGCGCCGATGCAGTGCGATGGATTCATAAGTGACCGACGGCGCCGATGCGTGAGGTGAATATGCAATCACAATGAGGACAGGTTGGGACCGAGTACACATCGTTGGCGTTTACGGTGGGGAGGTTGGTGTTTGTTGGTGCATCAGGATTGTGTGCAGTGGTGGTGGGTGCAGGAGCCGTTGCAGCGCATGCTGAAGCGACAGAGGAGGATAGTAGTGGTGGTGAAGGAGTGCGGTCAGCGTCGATTGTCAACGTGGGGAGCGAGGCAGAGGTGGACGGGGGACATCGGGTGGCGTCGCCCGGGTGCTGCAGTTGGTACGAAGAAATCCAATAAGTCCGAGTGGTGCACGGAAGGTCCGCTGACATCTCAAGCAGGTCGGGGCGGTTGAGCGTTGGCGTTGCGAGGTAGGCGCAGTTGAGATTTGCGAACCTCGTGTTTGGCTTTGATGATGGTGAAAGGGGCTGGACTCGTAGATTGCCGCACCGGTCTTCACCGCTCTCCTTCAGGTCGGTCACTCCAGGGCGAGGTCTTCCCAGTTTGACGAGATGATTTGCAGACGCTTCAAGGCGGTCTTCAGGGTATCCTTTTAGCGCCGGATTGGACCTCCTTGTCGGCGGGAACCCGTCACGACATCCCCGTAGAAGAGCTTGTAGTGACATTTAAGTCTGTTTTGTTTTAATCAGTTAGAATACGCTTTGACACAACTTTGAATAAGAATAAGAACACGCACGTGCACTTTTACCTGCCGACGACTTTGTTCTTATTTACTAGTTTGTAACTGTTGGGATACTGCTATTTTCGTTTCCTGGATAGCCTACTCGCTGTGCCCAACTAGTGGGTTTGTCTCTTACAGATGCTTCTGGTTGTCACCCCATAGATGCCAAAGTTTCATCTATTCGCGATTTCCCTACCCCCACTTCTTTTCAACAACTGCGCCGTTTTATAGGCCTTGTCAATTTCTATCGACGTTTCATCCCTCATTGTGCTCAATTAGTGCTACCACTTACTAACCTTTTACGCGGGAACAACCGTGAGTTTTCTTTTCCTGACACAGCTGTAGGGGCTTTCAATCGTGCGAGGAAGGCTCTTGCGGATACAACTGTCCTGGTTCACCCTATACCTGATGCCCCACTTTCCATTGTGGCCGACGCCTCCAATTTCGCTATAGGTGCTGCCCTTCAGCAACAGACGCCCACTGGCACCCAGCCCTTGGCTTTCTACTCTGCCAAATTGACACCCCCAAAAACTCGCTATAGAACTTTTGGTAGAGAACTTCTTGCAATTTATTTAGCCATTAAGCATTTTCGCAATTATATTGAGGGCCGAGATTTTTGTATTTATACTGACCACAAGCCTCTTACTTATGCCCTCTCTACTTCTTCTGACAAGTATTCACCCCGCGAGGCCCGCCATCTCGATTTTATTTCTCAGTATACCACAGACATTAGATTTCTTAAAGTCCTTTATAATCAAGTTGCTGACTGTCTTTCTCGGCCTGGCATTAATGCCATCACCCGCCCTTCCATCGATTTGGAGCGCATGGCAGAACTGCAAAATCAGCCGACTTTCAGTGAGAGCCTTCAACACACTAGTCTTCAACTCGAAGCCATTCCTCTCTCCACCACCCCCGGTACAATCTTGTGTGACGTATCGCGCGGGGCCTCCCGACCCGTAGTGCCAAGCGAGATGAGACGAGATGTTTTTGCCGCGTTGCACAATCTAGCTCACCTTGGCATCCGCACTACCCAGCGCATCGTCAGCGAGCGGTTCGTTTGGCCAAGCATGAACACTGATATCCGCCAGCGGACCCGTTCATGTTTGGCCTGTCAGAAGGCCAAAGTCGGACGGCACAACAAAACCCCCATTGGCACTTTTCTCGCACCCGACGCACGTTTTTCACATGTCCATATCGATCTGGTAGGTCCCTTTCCAACATCTCGTGGTTGCAACTACTTACTTACTGCGATTGACCGATTTACTCGTTGGCCCATTGCAACTCCCATACCTAACATAACTGCCAATTCCGTTGCTCACGTTTTTGGAACACTGGATCTCTCATTATGACGTCCCCTCAACTATTACCACCGATCGAGGTCAACAATTCGAGTCTAGACTTTTTAACAGCCTTACTAACCTCCTCGGATGTTCTCGCATACGCACGACAGCATACCACCCCTCATCCAACGGTTTAGTCGAGCGTTTACACCGGCAACTCAAAGCCTCGCTCCGAGCTCATGACAACCCTTCCCATTGGAGCGAGCATCTGCCTTTGGTCATGCTCGGTATCCGTACCGCACTCAAGCCCGACTTGGAGTGTTCCGCTGCCGAACTTGTCTACGGTACTACCCTACGGATTCCAGGTGATTTTTTCGGGTACTCTCAAAGCTCAGCCGACTTGGATCCCAGCGATTATGTGCAAAGATTGCGCCAAGCCATGACTCATCTTCGAGCCACTCCTCCACGTCCTTCAACAAGTAAGTCGTACGTCGACCCGAACTTACTAACATGTTCTTTCGCCGGCCACTACAGCAGCCCTATGACGGCCCATTTCGAGTACTATCGCGCAAGGACAAGCATTTTACAATTGACCGTGGAGGCCGCACCGACGTGGTCTCAATCGATCGCTTGAAGGCGGCTTATACCGAGCCTCTTCCAACTTCTCCAACCGAACAACCTCCACTTGGCACATTGCCACTTGCTATTTCCCAGACTCCATTTACGCCCAATAACCCTGCGTCTTCCCTTATCCCACAGACTCCTCCCCTTACGCGCAGTGGTCGTCATGTCCGTTTTCCCGACCGTTACCAACTTGTACAATATGCATAACACTCCCACATTTTCCTTCTATTAACAATAATTTTTTTTGAACTCCGTTCTCCTAGGAGGGGGAGTATTGTAGTGACATTTAAGTCTGTTTTGTTTTAATCAGTTACAATACGCTTTGACACAACTTTGAATAAGAATAAGAACACGCACGTGCACTTTTACCTGCCGACGACTTTGTTCTTATTTACTAGTTTGTAACTGTTGGGATACTGCTATTTTCGTTTCCTGGAAGCCTACTCGCTGTGCCCAACTAGTGGGTTTGTCTCTTACAAGCTATTTGGGTAGCCGCTCGTCGTCCATGCGCACGAGGTGGCCGCTCTAGCGCCTCTGATCTTGTTGACTGTTTTGACACCGAGCTCAGAAGGAGAGGAGGAGAAAGTGCGACAGATGCTGCGTAATTCTACTCTGACTATAAACTAATTCACGCGCAAATCACCGTGCCTACTCCCACCTTGTCGTGGAGCAGTGCGGTGGACATCATCGGGCACGACAGTCGAACTGCCGTCGTGTGAATATGTGTTGTGCCTCCAAAACTGGCACGACGGTCGAACTTTCATGGCGGCTCCCATACCCCTTCACCCACTCGGTCACACGAGTCATCCAGGTGTCCTGTATCTCCCGCAATCGGCGATAGCGGAAGATGGTCTTTTTGTTTGTGTCGGTCTGGTGGTCCATGTAGGTCTTTTGTAGCAGGTTGAGGATGTCTGTGTCATTGTGGACAGCGTGCACGTCCGAAGACATCCAGTATGGTGGATTGGATGACACTACCGATTCTCTACATAGGCGTTTTCATTTGAGCTCGCACATATTCCAGTCATTGGATAAGTCGATTGCTAAAGTATAAGTGGTGAGCAGGCAGATTCAGCAGAACAGTTCTTAGCTTACCTGATGGTCGCTTATTTTGTAGTCTCCCGCGTGGCTGCAGTCGGAGCCCCATCTTAGAACGGATGGGGTGGTGGTCGATCCAGCCGTTGACGCCCGGAATCACCTTCACCACCAGCACATCCTGTTGATCTTGTCTCCGGACAGGAGCGTAGCCCAGCAACGGCCAGCACCGCGGTCAGATAATCATCCAAGTTACATTATCCCTCGTCTTAAGGCGGAAGAGGGCGTTGGTCAGGATGAGCCGGTGTTCTGCGTACGTTCGTAGGAGGAGCAGGCCATTGTCGTCGAACCGTCGAGACCATTGTAACCCAGCACTCCTCTCCAGACAGCATGGTCTGTGCCGACGCAGGTGTTGAAGTCACCAAGGTCAATCAACTTATCCGTCTTCGGCACAGACGCCAGGAGGACGTGCAGGTATTCGTAGAACTAGGTCTTCGCCCCTCAGAAACTGGTCATTTTTGAGGGAGGAGGTTGTAGACATTGACAACGGTGGCAAATTTAACTCCTTGAAGAGACAGGCTCTAACTCACGAGGCGGTTGTTGACGCCCTGCGGCAGATTGGGCAGTTGTCCCACGATGTCGTTCCTCATGGTGAAGGCAACGCCAGCATCGTGTCGCCCGCTCTTTGGGCGGTCTCCCCGGATGAAGGTGTATATAGCACCCACCTCCTTAAGGCATCCTTGTTCGGATAATCGGGTTTCACTGAGAGCAGCGATGTCTACCTTGTGGCGCGCCAGTTTTCAAGCAGCTAGTGCCGTCCTCTGTTCCTATCGATTGCTCCTCGGATTGTCTAAAAGGAAACGAAGATTTCAGGCTGTCAGGGTGAGCGGACTAGGGCTCCTAAGGCATCCCAGACGGCTGCCGAATTCCACCATGGATCGCGATTTTGCTTAATGGGGAGCGACCCCAGTTAGCCTGGGCTAACTTTGGGATTGCATGTCGCCCTCTCTGTAAGACATTTGTAGTGGAAGGAGGGAGAGAGGAGAGGGAATGGGGGAGGGAAGTGGGAAATGGGATGAAAACAGATTTGCCGGGCATGGGGACACAACGTCGGATACCTTCATCTGGTTTAGCCCGTCGGTCGAGGCGATTATCAGGGGTGTGGCCGCTAGGCAGAGTCTAGCTTCGGCGGATCATAGAAGAGAGTTGGGTGCCAGGTACCGACCGTAAGGAGTAGTCAACATTTGCATGGTCTGACGTACCAACCATGCACGGGTGCCCCTCAATTGGACACCTCTACACCCCTTTTCTCCAATATATGGCCCATGCAACTACTTAAGTCGCTATCTGACACAGCAGAACGCACTGTAGATACCAAAACTCTTGAGTAAAATCCCCAGCAGAGCATGTTTTCGCATCATTTAGCCAAATCAACATTGTCCACTTATACTTAAAACGGAAGCTAGGGGATTAGTACAACAAAAAATACCTGGTAGTTGCATCTATAGGTTAACCACTTAATGAGACAGATGGCCAGTGTGACAATTCTACTAACGGTCAAACTGTCGCTTCTGTTTCCATCAGAAGAAGAGTCTGATCTTGATACAACTAAAGTAAAGGACGTCTATCACAATAATACTTTCGAAAGTCTTATATATTTTTTCTGGCCGTATAATGAATATTTGGCGACGGTATCGTACGTAACTTCACCTGGTCGTTGCGGTAAAACTTGCCATCTTATTTTGTTTTTGCAGACATGTTTTGGTAATACTAGCACGGTTAATTAGGGTTTGGCTTTTGAGGTTAGGGCTAGGGTTTTAAAGGAAGGTTTGCAGTTTTAAGATCAGTGTTGGGGTAAGAGTTTCAGGTTTATGGCTTTGCAGTTAGGATAGAGTTAGGGTTAGTCATTTAAGGCGATGGTTAAAGGTTAAGTTTAGTGGTCAAGGTTTGGAATAGGGTCCTCAGATTACCTTTAAGGGTTAAAATTAACTGGCAGAGACACGCACAGTGGGTTCTATGCTGGCTGATAACTCGTCCAATGCTGACGCATTTGGAGTCCACATTGTCATTTTGTCATACTAGGCGGCAGTCCCCTTGCTTGGTGGTATTCTATCACCTACGAGTTTATAGCTTCGGTTCTTTTTTCCCCTTCCTTTGGAAAATCGGGCTGCGGTTTCCTTAATTTTTTGCGACCTGGAGACGGTGGTCTGTATTTTGGAGGGAGGAAGAATATGCATTACCACTTACTCTGCCCATTAATGCATTTCGTTATTGTACATAACCTTTACATATATATTTTTATTTTCCCCAATTTTTATAGTTCATTACTACATTGCCTTATCACGCAGATACAAGCATGCGATCTTGCTTGCGTTAGTTGCATTTTTTCTTGTTCATTAAAGCGTATTTCCAGAGCTCTCTAACATCCGTGTGCGTCTCGGTGCCTCGCAGTAGATTGTCACAGTTGCATTATTTGGCACTTGCCGCTCTTATTCCTTGTTGGTTGTTCATTCTGTTAACTCCTGACCCTCTTCACATTTTCAGGTGGCTGGTTGTTCAAATGCCTTTTCTTTATTGAAAATCCGTTGCTATATCTGTGCGTAGAAGAAGAATCTACATGGAAATATGTTTATTTTTATGTTTTGTTGCGTTTATTTCGTTCTCCCTTAGCGTTGATGCCCCAAACGTAAAACCCCTATTACCACCATCCCCGTATTACGCTGGCCTGGGGTTACTAGTTGCGAGGTGGGGTTACACAACTTACCGTTGCCGCCGTTCTGTCCTTGAGTTGTCACGGCTCAGGATAGAAGCTCCCTGAAGATCGGAAGTATGGCCAATTCGTGCAACGTGCGTTGCAAGTTGAGAGTTTGGATTCAACCTCCGAGTTGCCACTTCATACCCTTGTGAGATGGTCTGTGATTTCCGGCCGGTTTCCCGTTCCCTACATTACAGAGGTCTCCGAGGCGGTCTCTCGACCGTCACAACCTGCCAGAGTAGACACAACCCATCGATCCCAGGCCACAATTCGGCGCCGTTTGATGCAGTCTAAGGACACGCTACCACCCACTGAAACCTCAGTAGTTGTTTAAAAAATAAGTTGTAATGATGGGGACTGAAACTAAGCTGGGGAAACCGGGTGGGAATCACAGACCGTCTTACAAGAGTACAAATCGGAAACTCGGAAGCTTGACCCACACTCCCAGTTCGCAACACACGTTGCAGAAACTAGTCATGCTTTCGATCCTCAGGAGGCTAACACCCGAGGCGTGGTACTCAGCTGTCAACTCCCTCAAATAGGCATGTGGACCTTTGTGCCACTCACACAGTCCCGCGTCATTACGTTCACAATGCTCTGGGAAGATAACAATACAGAAATTATGAGGGTCGTGCAGACAGCCTAACGAGGATTTAACTCGACGAGGAAGAAAATGAGCCGCCAGACCGACCAATCCCGACAGAGGCTCAACCGCCTCCCTCCGACGAGGTGGTGACTCACAACGCACGCAGCTAAAAAGACCGCCATGCATCCCCCTGAAGGCTGATGCAGCGAGAGAGAAAAAACAATCGATCAGCACGAGGCCGACTAGCGCGGCACGCCACTTCTGTTTCTGTTCGATTAAGTGCATTTTAAGCTTTGACGATGGTAAGCCGACCAAAGTCTCCGGAACGTCATCATTTCAAAAAACCCGTTGAAGTGAGCCCTTCTTATTTCTCAAATTTATCGACCCAGATCTCTCAACTTTGCCAATCTGAACATATGAAATTCCACGTTTGTTTTCGACTAAATGAAAACAGAGCCAAGTAACCGTCGAGTAGCACAAATAATAGTGTCAAAGGTCATATGAAGCACTAAACGTCTCTTTATGCACGATAGTTCGGTAGTTTCTTTAATGAAGTTGCCATGGTGGGTTTTATAGCGCGCTCCCCTATATTTCGCAGGATAAATCTTTCTGGGTGTCCGTTTGCGGGGATTATATCCCGCAGGTCAGGGTGTTCTGCCTCAACATTCTCAGAAGAGCAGATACGTCGCACTCCAGCTGCCAATCACTAGACCAAATTGCATTTAAAATTTAGGGGAACAAAACTGTGAAAATTAATGTATTGTCCCGTCCAGGTTTCCTTTCGGACTACCCTATGCTGGACAGATCCATCCTCTTGTATGTGCAGAAGAACATCAAGGAACGCGATTTCGTTGTCTGCCTCAAAATGCCTCCAAACTGTGTTTTTAAGGCGGCCGAAGGCTTGACTAGCCTTCGAAATCCGACGGACAACTTTGTGGTCGATTTTGGCGCTGCGGGAGAGAGATGCAGCCCATATACGGGAAGTTGTCCACCACTTGCATTTGGGTTCCGTTCACAATGATTTGAGGCGCATTGTTGGCAGGGGCTGTGTTGGGTGGCGGTTGATGTATGACCACTGTCTTCTCCGTGGTAATGATCAGGCCGAAGTTCTCTCAGGCGTCAGACAAAAAATCCATGCACCTTTGCATGTCCCCTCCAAGGTGTTATTGAGTGCGCAGTCGTCGACGAAGAAAAGTTCGTAGACGGTGGTTGTGGTTACGCGTGACTGGAAGTGCATCCGCCGTTGATTGGGAATGTGGCCGTCCGTCCTGTAGGTGATGCGGATCGCGGGGCGTTCGTCATGGTAGGCGTCCATCAGCATGGCAGTGAACATGAAACTGAAGAGGGTGGGCACCAGGACGCATCTTTGCTTCATTCCGTTGGTTACTGCGAATGCCTCTGAGACCGGTCCATTGTCCGTGACGCGCGCCGTCACGCCATCGTGGAGTTGACGCACCATCTGAGGGGACCGTTCGGGACAGCCGAATTTCTGCATGATTTTCCACAGTCCTTTGTGATTCAACGTGTCGAAGGCTTTCGTCGGATCCACGAAGGTAGAGTACAGGTGGGTCCGCATCTCCTGGCACTTTTCCTGAGGTTGGCCGACGGCGAAGAGGATGTCAGTGGTCCAACGATGACGGCGGATACCGCACTAGCTTTCTGGCAGAAGACCCCGTTCCAGGTAATTATTCAGGCGGTTGAGAAGCATGCGAGCGAAAATTTTACCGGCGATGTTTAGGGGAGAGAGATTGTTTGGTGGTTGTCGCAGAACTGGCCGTTTCCTTTTCGCTTGTGAAGATGCGCGATTGTGGCATCTTTGAAATTCTGCAGAACTTCTCCTTGGCGCCACATCTCCTGGAAGAGCGCAGTCAGATGAGCTATGAGTTGGGGGCGCCGTGCTTGTAGACCTCAACAGGGATCGAATACGTTCCGGGTGCTTTCCCTCTGGAGGGCTGCTGCACGGCCCTCATGGTTTCGTGGTGGGAGGGCGGGAGGTCCAGGCCGACGATGGCGGCGTCGGAGGTGGTGGTGGAAGGGCGGTTGAGGACGTCTCGGAAGTGTTCGGCCCAACTCTGTAATATTTGTGTCTTTTCGGTGATTAGGGTACTGCCGTCGGCGCTGAGGAGAGGAGTAGTGCCTTTGGTTGGCGGACCGTAGACAGCTTCGAGCGCAGCGAAGAAGTTCTTCCATTCGTTGAGGTGCGCGTACCCTTGGATCTCCTCAGCCCTGCGAGCCGTCCAGGTGTCCTGCATCTCACACAGTCGCTGTTGAACGAGGCGACGATTATGGTAGAAAGCAGCTCTGTTGTCGTCGGTGAGGCGGTCGACGTAGGCTTTGTGCAGGCGGTTGTTCTCGGCGAGCAGGTTGCTAATGGCGCCGTCGTTGTCGTCTAACCAGTCTTGATGCCGAAAACGTGCGCGACCGAGGAAGGCCAACGCCATCGACTGGACTGCGTCCCGCAGTTGACATCATCGGTTCTCCACGGAGGCGTTCTCGTCAGCGGCGACGGAGGCGACAGCGACTGGAAGGTTGTCTAACTCTTTGCTGTTATGGAGATGGTGAGCGGACAAAGACAATAAGGCAATATTCACCTCACCTGGGGGTCGCTTACCTTGTGGTCTCCTGCAAGGCTGTAGACGAATCCGCATATTCGAGATGACGAGGCGATAATCGGTCCATCCGTCAGCACCCGGAATCGCCTTTGTCACCAGCACGTCCTGCTGGTCTCGCCTCCGAACGAGGACATGGTCCCGCAGGTGCCACTGACGCGACCGAGGATGCATCCAGGTGGCCTTCTTTCGCTCTGGCAGACAGAAGAAGGTGTTTGTCAGGATGCGGCGGTGTTCTGCGCAGGTGCGGAGCAGCAGCAGACCATTGTCGCCTGAGCCGCGGAGACAATGGGGACCTAGAACTTCTCTCCAGGCAACATGGTCTGTGCCGACGCGGGCATTGAAGTCACCAAAGGACAATCAACTTATCCGCCTTCGACACAGTCGCCAGGAGGTTGTGCAGGTCCTCGTAGAATTTGTCTCTGGCGGCGTCAGGACTAGTCATCGGGGGAGCGTAGGCGCTGATGACAGTGACGAATTTGCCTACCCGGAGAGGCAAACGGAGGTTCATCAGGCAATCGCTGATGTCCTGCGGCAGACAGGGCAGTCGTCCCACGATGTCGTTTCGGATGGCGAAGGTAACACCTGCGTCTCGTCGCTCTGCCCTGGGGCGACAGCTACAGAAGAAAATGTAGCCGGCACCCACCTCCTCCAGTTGGCCTTGTTCGGAGAATGGGGTCTCGCTGAGTGTGGCGATGTCCACCATGTAGCGCGCCAGTTCCCGGGCCACTAGCGTTGTCCTCCGTTCCGGTCGGTTGCTCCTCGGATTGTCTAAAAGAGAACGAACATTCCAGGCTGCCAGAGTGAGCGGACTCTCCCTGCCAGTCAACCGATTGCGGTGACGAAAAGGAGGAGAGGAAGAAGGGGAATGGGCAGGAAGTGGAAGAGAGAGATATGTGTTGTTTCGGTTTTGGCTGTTTCGACCGTGTGTGTTATGTCTGCGGTCACTGCCAGCCTACATACAGCATTATTCCCAGCAGTTTTAGGGCACCTTTTCTAGCCCCTTCCCTTTGTGGGGACAGGCAGCGCATCCCCTAAATAGGGCTGTCCGGTTATCCCAGACGGCTGCCCAACTCCCCAATGAGCCAAGACTTTTTGTTAGTGAAAGAACGCCCCGAATTAGCCTGGGACCTTGAGGGGGGGGGAACTAAGTAGGAGAGAGGATACACAAAACAGAACGCCATAGACTTACAGTTAGGATGGACAAGTAGAGATAGCCATCAGGTAGGGACAGAAGTAGCAGGACATCATTCTATGTCAAGCACAGTAACTCCTAGCTATTAGCAAAGAGAGGAACAGACTAACAGATACAGAGCAGGCAACAAGAGCAGCATACAGCATGGGACTCGAGCAGGCAAGTAAGGAAACAGAGCAAAGTTCACTTACCTGAGGATTCACTTACCTGGTGGCCTCCTGCGGTGGTCCAGACAGAGCCTCGTCTCGACGATGCCGACGCGAAGATCCATCCGGCCAGCGTAGACCACAGTACCGTGTGTGCAGGTGCACACATGGATACCCTCAACTGGTTTAGCCCATCGGTCGAGGCGGTTGCCGGGGTGTGGCCGCTGAGCAGAGCCCAGCTGCGTGGAGCCACAGGTAAGAGTTTAGTGCCAGCAAATGGACGCTAGGCGTAGTCTGCACCTGCAAGCAGGTGAGAAACCACAACGACCGTCACGTGAGTCCACCGCTGGACACTCCTACACTCCCCAGACACATACACACAGAGCAGGTGGTGGGAGTAGGGACGGTGACTTGCGCGGAGTTTTATAGTGCCGACAGACTTGCGCTGCATTTACCACACTCTCTCCTCCTTCCCCACCTGAGCCCGGTGTCAAGACAGATTCAAGAAGACCGGATATGAGGGAGGCCGCAGGTGGATAGCTTGGACGGATCCGCACCTTGGCGCTCCACTCCGTACCCCCTGGCCCACACAACAATGACCAGGATTTTGACCGACAAAACAATGGAGGCGGCAGTGATCCCAGATTGTACGACGACAGCCGACAACCGGGTCTGCCAGAGCACCCCCTAGATGTTGGCATTTACTATTGCGCAAGATAACGCCTGCCAGAACCCGATGTGGCCCCCGTGTTGGTCGAGTGCATCTACCACGTGGCCCGTTTGCGGGGCACACCCACACACAATCTACAAACACGGCAACCACCGACTGATTGATCAACTAACGGATATGTGGCGACAGGCAGAGGACCTTCACAACTTCAAAGGCGCGACCATAGTCAATGTTTACAAGCGCAAAGGGAAAAGCAATTCTGTGATAAACATAGAGGCATCTCGTTACTCAACGTCGTCTGGAAGATCTTCGCTCGCCTTCTTCCTAATCATCTCAATGACCACCCCGAGCAAAAACAATTGCCAGGAAGCCATTGTGGCTTCCGACGACACTACATGGTCTTTGCTGCTGGGCAGTTTCAGGAGTAGTGGGAGGTGATGCGAGCCCACCTCTGTACTACCTTCGTGCACATGACTGACTCTCATACCTCCAGCCGACCACTCCAAACAAACGCACAGCACTGGGCCGTCCGCAAGGTCCAAGTTGTCCCGTCAGTTGGCAACCTTACAAGCCACGGCTTTTAGCGCACCGTGATAGCTTCAAGCGGGTCAGATTGATTGTAGTGAGAAGGAAAATGCGCTGAGTCGTCGAGTTCACTTTCCCTCCCCATTCCCACACCTCAGTCCCTGTCCTAGCCGGTCAGCTGACTGCAGCGGGGAATGGGCGCGTGGCTGACATGGTCGAGTGACATTGTCTGCGCGCGCCACATGAACGAACTGGCCCCCCAAACACACACACACACACACACACACCTGGATGGACTGCGTGGACCGAGTTGGGGCGTCAACCAGTAACCTTCCTATCCAAGCCGCTTGACGCGTCAGGATAGTCTCAGGCTCAAGTCACACATGCAACAGGAGCCGCACGGAGACGGAGTCGAGACGCACACCTCCCACGCAAGTGGGAGGTGGTAGTTGGGCGCTTGCGGTGGGTGATATTAATGAGCGGTGAGGGAGGATGTGATGGTGTGGTGCAACCGGCGGTTGTCTACCGCAGGTTTTCGTGGATGCGCATGTGGCCGAATAGACGCATGCGATGCGTGAAAGTTCGAAGACAGTGTGGACAGTGGAAGCGAGTTCGGTGGGTATAGGTTGCGCTCCAGGCACTGGTTCGTTGATCTCTGTGCCATGGATTCGCAAGTGACCGACCAGGCCGATGTGTGAGGTGAACGTGCGGTCGCAGTGAGGGCAGGTGTAATCCTGGTCCCCACCTCTGATGTCGACGGTGGTAGTGATGTTTTTGCCGATTTGTCAAGATTGTGTGCAGTGTTGAAAAGCGTGGCAGGCGCTGCAACGGCAGGCGTTGGAGCAACGGGGGAGGAGGAGGAGGAGGAGGAGGAGGAGGAGGAGAATGGAAGCGGTGGTTCAGGAGGGCGGTCAGTGTTAGCTGGCGTGGAAGACGAGAAGGAGTTGGACGAAGGACGATGGTTGGTGCGGTTCGAGTGGTGCAGTTTATCCGGTGGCGTCCAACAAGCCCAATCCGTGTCCGGAATGTCCGTTGACACTGCGGACGCGTTGGAGGCGGTTGTGCGTTTGCATTGTGAGGTGGGTGCAGCTGGGACCTGCGTGCTTCACGCACACACACGCACGGTAATTTAACAGAAGTTGCTAGCGATGTCTGCTGTATGATCCACAGCAGGGTGAGAGCAGGGACGATGACTTGTGCGTAAATTTGTTTATAGTGGTAGTAGACTTGCAAAGCACCTACCACACTTTCTCCTCCTCCCCAACCTGGACTTAGAAGAGTGCAATTATTGCTACGCCAGGAGAATAACCAAAACCTTACTTCTTTGGGCAGTTGACTATTTTCGGCTCCGCATTATGGCCTGAACGTTCTTCTCTTTATACTTCGCGCTCTCTCTCCCTCTCTCTCTCTCTCTCTCTCTCTCTCTCTCTCTCTCTATCTCTCTCTCTCTCTACCTACCGTAACGCGTAAAGTTTAAATCTGCATAGACTATTTTGGGCTTTGATTTAAAATAAAATTACGAAATTACTAAGTACCCTGAATGTCTGGGAGACATTGAGAAGGCCAAAGATCATTCGGCTAAATTCAAAGAGGCCAACTTTGGCAGTGACTGGTGTCTTGGGTATATTATCCGTGGCGATCTGTATTTTATAACAGACGTGCAACAGGTCGATGTATACGAAAACCACTTCGGTAAATAGGGCTTTGGTGAAGACCGGAAGAGGAGGCACTAAGTACCGGTGAGGAATAGTAACAATGTTGATTGCTCTATGGTCTCCGCAGGGTCTCCATTTACCACAAGCCGACTAAGCATGGTGTGAAGAGACGACGCCCACAGACGCAGACTGTCCATGATGCTGAGTCTCAGCATGTGCCCGAACTTCCTTTTTGCCGCCGCCGCCGCCACCGACAGGTGGGCCAGTGCCAGATGTTTAGGCTGAGCGAACAGTGGAGATCCTGAAATGCGGATGTGATGCACAACGCCATGCTGAATTTCAACCTAGGGAGCTAGCGATGTGTGAGTTTTGTAATGTTCGAGAAAGAGCCCTAAATGAGGGCAAGTCATGCCTGTGCTAAAATGCATATACTTGGTTTTGTCCTGGCTCCACGAAGCGCTGTTAAGCGCGACGGCCATACAGTCCATGACTGGCAGTCTATGTCAGATGCGAGTGATAAGTGTGTGTCTGCATCTCTGTGTCACCATAACATGTCCACAAAGGGGTCACGTGGTAGATGCACTGGACCAACTCGGGCGCCATATTGGATTTTGGTAGGCGTTATCGGAGTTATGCACCGCGACAAAGGTCACCATCTCGGGGAGTGCGGTTGCGGACTCGGTTGCCGGCGTACGTCACGCACACTGGGACCCTGATACCTCCCTTGTTTTTTGTGAATCAACAATCCTGGTCACTTCCTGTGTGGATCAGGGGGTGTGGGGTGGAACGCCAAGATGTGGGTTCGACCGTGCCAACCACCTGCGCCCTGCACCATCTCCGGTCTTCTTGATTCTGTCTTGACACCGAGTCCAGGTGGGGAGTGGGGAAGAGAAATTGCATTAGATGCTATGCAAGTCTACTATCAATACAAACTAAATCTTCTCAAATTTCATGGTGTATGCTCTCACCCTGCAGTGGAGCATACGGCGGACATCGTCGGAATAAGGAGCTGCTCTGCAAATGCGTTGGACCAAAGCGGGGTCAGAATGGCTCACGGTAAGCGTTTGTCAGGCCGCGCTGGGTTCACTTCAGAACACGACTGCTGGCGTGCATGTCTGCGGTGGCACACCCCTGGACGTAGGTCTTCACGCCGCGTCAGCCACTGTGTCCGACATCGCCACCAGTTGGTTGACAAGCTCACGGAACTGACTGGTGCTCAAGATAAGGAAGATAGTGAAACGGACTCTGACGAATCATTCCTCACGGCGCATCAACCCGTCCTTTACTATAGCAAATCTTACTTGCATAAATCCATCACCACGCGCTACTAGTCAGGGCTTGCAAGGCTGACAGGTGCTGGAATAATTCGACCCCTCTCAGTATGCTAATCAGGCTGCGATGACTCCTTATTAAAGTGGTCATGATGCGTTGTGCAGAAGTGTGGCAGGCGTAGAAAGACGTCCTCTGCCTTTCCAGTCGTCTTGGCATTCCCATGTCAGCGGAGCAAAGTGGAGAAGGGAAGAGAGAGAGAGTGCGGTCGGTTCTGCGAAAGTCCGCTTCGCTGTAAGTAAATCCCCCCACAAGTCATCGGTGCTGCGTTCAGTTCGTAGGGCACTCAGTGAACGACGACACCTGGAAGGATTGAACTTCCGTGTCTCCGCCCTCCCTGCCACCCCCCCCCCCAAACAAAGTGTCCTACGGAGAGCGAAACATGTGGTCCTGCAGGCGGCCCTGAAGGCTAAGCAGATTTTGGAAGTCGTATGAATCTGAAAGTGGAACAAAGGCAAGTCCTGGAGGCAAATTTTATCATTTATGGTCAATGGGGAAACTGCGGAATACTGTCCAAGCCACCGCACCTTAAGTCCCAACTCGGACACACCAAGAGCATCGGGACTGATTTGATGAAAATAAAAAAATAGATCCGGAATCTGATCTTCGATATCTACGCCAACAAAAACATCGGAGATAACGAGGCGACGTTCTTCTAATATCAAAGTCTGACGCAACAGAGGCTGAGCTACAGGCAGGACGACTGACTGGTTGACGATGGTGAAGAAATACAAGGAAATACCGGCCACGGGGACTTCCAGAATTCCCTCCCTGTAACCAAAAGAATTCACGGTTTTTAAGCCAGGGGTGTCGAATGTGCGATGATCGACAGAAATCAGGGAAGACGGATGGATGGACAAGTAATTCTGAGGTGAACGAGTGTACACGCATCCCAGTAAACAGTTACAGCCAACGCTCTCGTCAGGCGAGTGTTGTCGCCAGCCTTGTCAGTCATCGATGTTGTTCGTCCGGGCGCGAAATTTTGTACGGCTGTGACCTATCGATGAAGAAAAACATGGGTCGGCGTTACGGCATGGGTAGACCGAAGGTGACATACGTAGGTGACGGTGTTGACGATCGTGAGAGCGCGAAGTTATCAACCAAGACAGTGCAATCCTAATGCCAAGGGAACCGCAGACCCTGGAGTGCTAAAGCGAGCATTCTAAGGGCGCCCCAACTGCCCGTCCACAATATGTGAAGAAGCCACTGGCCGACCTCCACGTGTGAAAACCAGTGACGCCCTCGTTAGATCACCCTCCGTATAGGAGACAATCAGGGCCGTGCACCATTTGTCCGGCGGCCAGTGGTCTCTAACACATTTAATAGGTGCAGTAAAATATGGCTGTATATCCGCTCCCACACTCCTCACATTCGTGTTTTCTGCCATTCTGAGGGACGCCTGCCATAAGAAGCTTCCAGATGCTACGTAAAGCACCGATCCGATGGATGGGCGCTGAACACGCGACATAGGCATGCACTTCCACGAGATTCCAAGATTAGTATCGACGACCTCATTTTCGCGAATGACTTTTCGCTGAATACAACGATTGAAGTGACTTTACAGCGGAGTGTGGGTCTTTTCACTTTCAGCTGCTCCAAATTCGAACGGGCCATCAGCATGGAGAAAATCGTTGTCATACACCATTAGGTACCAACTGTGGACTACAACAAATCTCGTATAAATATGAACTGAAACTCACCCCACGAAAGTGGAGATGCAAGCGCATCGGAGCGGCCACGCCGTACGGATGGGTGACGAGCTCCCGACGATGCACCTATTATACAGCAACGTCGATATGGCTGCTTGTGGACGAGGTGGAGGAAAGCGTCGTTATAATGGCACCCCGAAGACCCGATTAAAGCACTTGCAAATTAATTAGGACACCTGGAAAGATGCTGCATGCAACCTGCAGGCATGATGCACAGCCCTGAAGACTGGGGCATCCATCTTCGAAGCCAACCGAATTTGAGCTGCCACAGGAACGATAGTCATTTCGACCGTCGCGAAAGACGATGTCTACCGTGTGTCAAACAGGACGGTGAGTTGTATGTGAATTAGTTTACAATGATGGTGGACTTGCGCAGCATCTGCCGCAATCTTTCCTCTTTTACTCAACTGGGCCTGTGACAAGACTAATTCAGGACGACCGGAGGTGTGATCTGGCGTAGTGGCTAACAAGGCTAAAGGGCGCGTCTGCATCTGGCCGGTGTATGATGGGCCTGGTTCTTAGGGAAAACTGAGTGGTCGGTCCGGCCCTTAAACGACTTGGAGTGCCATTTGCGTCACGTTAAGAAGGATTCATTGCAGTCTGATTCTCCAGCCTGAGAGGAAGATCGAGTTATACCGTCGGTCGGCAGCCCTGGAAGTTACGACTTTAGCGCATTTTGATAGTTTAAAGTGCATCAGCTTCTTAATAATAAGGAAGGAGCTGAGACTCGACGAAAACGGAGTACTCAGAGTCGACCTCAGTCTCTTCCGCGCACTAATCAACTGACTGAGCCTGTCAGTCATCTAGTGCCGAAATAAGGCGCAGTGGTTTAGCGGGCAAGTCAATCGATAACTCGATCCCACGCTAAGACTAGGTCGATAAAAGCCAAGCAAAACGGCCGCGCCAGAACGGACTTGACTGTCAACGCCGCCCAGAGGAGAACAAAGGCAATTGGTGAAAAATCAGTTAGTCAAACCGAAACTCACACCAGTTGGAGTGTATGCGTAACTGTTACGTAAACACCAACCTAGACAAAAGTGGATAAATGCGAGTCTATAAAGCGCTGAGCAATTAGAATAACTATAAAATCAGTGTATAAACACAGGTACCAGACCACATCAAAGAACATGGCTATCACCTAGATGAGGGGTTGCTTTTCTGAGTTTGTTGTGGCTGACGTGGGACGTGTTTGGGTATGGTGTATGAGATTGGGCGATTCGTAGTGATCGGGTTTGATCTGCGGTATTTTGCAGGGGAGAAGAATATGACCGAGTGGGCCTAATGAGATGACTGAAATGGGCAGTGTGGGTAGTTGAGGCGAGGGCGTGGGGCGTATGTTGGTGCTCCTGGCACTGGTTTGGCAGTCTCTGTGTGACAAATTCCCAAGTGACCGACCAGACCGATGCAAAAGTGCGACTGCAATGGGAATCGAATTCGCAGCCGTAGTGGTTGGCGGGTGCCGGGAGTGTTCTCACCGGTTGTGGTAGTGAGAGTGATGGTGTTCGTTGTTGTCGTCGTCTTCGTCGTTATTGCGGGTCCTGTGGCACTGAAGATGGAGTTAGCAGTGGGTGTCGGTCGCGTTCTCGGCCGGTCATCCTGTGTATGCTCACGTGTGGTAATTGTGGTCGTCTTCGAGGGCACCGTGGATGTTTCGGCAGAGGATGATGGTGTAGGCGTCTTCGGAGGCGGTCAGTAAATTTGTCTTACGGCGACCCGGCTGACTTTGTCGATTGCTGCACTAGTCTTCACTGCTATTCTCCTGCTAGATCGGCCCTGAGCGAGGTCCTCTCAGGTTTCCGGAGTGATTTGCGGTTGATTGAGAGAGGTCTTCAGGGTGTCCTTGTAGCGTCCTGTTTGTCCGCTTTACTAGTCAGCACCCGTAGGGACAGTACTGTAGGAGGTTTGTTTGGGTAGGCACTCGGCATCCGTCCCAGCAGGGTGGTCGCTCCGGGGCAGTTGCAGTTGCCTCAGCGTGGCCTAAATGTCCGGGGATTTTGGGCTGTTCCAGGACCTCAGTGCCTGCTATCCTGTCCTGCCGCCTCAGCTTCTTCGGATTCAGCTGAGATGGAAATGATTGGGTTTCCTGGATTGATTGACATAGACGGTCCATGCCTCCGACCTATACAGAGGCGTTGTCAGGACAACCACTCTGTGTCTTTTAAGTTTCGTTTTGAGTC